TACATTTGCTTAAGTGTGGTTTTACACAAAGGTCCTTTAGTTCTGTCACAAGTCAGCGATGCCTAATCAAGGGGTGCTAACTATCGAAAACTATTGTTGAACCCTCATGCGTGTCCTTTTTCTCTTTTCATGCGCACCAACCTTAATAATTACCCGCTTTATTCCGCGTTTTGTTGTTGTGTAGGCAACGATCTCCTTCTTGCTGGAATGGCCGGACCAAAGTATCCTTGCGACTACTTCGAAATTGACCGCATTCGTGATGATCAATACAAGATTACCTATCGGGTGACGCATGAGGGCAAGTATCTGTTGGTTGTCAAATGGGGCGATGAGCACGTTCCTGGAAGTCCTTTTGTCGTCGAAGCTGGTCCAGGTCGATGAGCTTTACCCTGTACCAAGCATCCCGACCACTTGTGACTTCCGTCTTAGTGCTTTTCTCTCTCCCTGCTGCGTGCCTTGTTCGCCTTCTGCTCCTATTCCTCCCAGCTATTAGCAACGCGCCAATCCCTAATGTCCCAGTCCACTTTCATATGAATCAATCCAAAAGCGGCTTCTGCCGTTTGTTCTTTCTTTTTTCCCCTTCTTCCATTTTGTGACCAGAGCTAATACTACTTAAAATGTCTCTCTCTCCTCGCCGTTTGCTGCTGCTGTTGAACTAATGTCACCTATTTCTGCTCTCTGGCTGCTTCCCGGACTGCTTCTATTGCACACACCCCTCCTCGCCCGCTAAAGTGACATTTTGCATATTTCGAATGTTTCTGCAACTCACTCTTTTTGAAAATGACTTTGTGTCCAATGTCTACAGTGAAACTATGCTTGCACACAGAGCACTTCATACAGCCACTCGATGCTTTCATTTTTTGTTCTCGCAGGAGGCCTTAAATTTGCTTAATAGAAACATACTGAAAAATTGTGCATACCTTATGTCTCGGATCTCGGGAGTCAGGCATGGGTCCGGAGCGTTCGAACCAGGTCTTTTCCGGTTGCCTAACTATTCTACTTTTAAGTCAACCCTCCCTGAAGATCCAGCCAAATAAGCTGCTTCACTTTACGTTCAAGAACTTTCTCGTAGAAAAGTGATTTCTTAGTAGTTTATGTCACATAACATTGCAGGCAAAGACGAGGGCAGCTGGAATACCCAGTTTTGACTCATTAGCGGCTATTAGCCAGTCATACCAACACCAAGTGGAACACCAGCAGAGGCTCAATGGTTGGAGCGTTGAACTCCCAATCAAGAAAAGGTGGCGGGTTCGAGCCCCGGATAATGCATCAATCAGAGTGGATTATGACGGGCTCGAGCGTGAGTTCCGTTAGCGATTGGTGAACGTTCATCAACGAGTTTATGTTACACCACATGGTCACACGCCGTGAGTTTAATCATACTTGAGTCAATTTACCCGCCCAGCCTACTGCAACGTGTGGAATCCATTAATCATGATACAGTAGGTTGACTGTTCAAGTAGGATTTCCTAAGAAATAAATCTAGAATCTACCAGATGGCTACCAGGCACAGTGTATTGACCCAGATGTGATTAAACTCACAGCTCCCGGCGGGGACATTGTGGCTCAGTTGACTAGAGCGTCGGCTATACTATAGGCTTCCTTTTTCTGGCGTGGGTTTGAACCCCATGGAGGCCGCCGAGTTTCTCGCTATTGGGCCAAATGAATTATTCAAATCTGCAAATTACTCTTACTAGTAAAGTCTGCCTTT